TCCCACCCCTTCCAGCCGGGTCTCAGCCATGGATTGGGTGGGGAAAGGCCTGGAGGAAGCTTGGTCTCCAATAGGTGTTTGGAAACCCTCCCCCCTCTTCCCACCCCTCCCCCATCATATGAGCTGTGATTTCCCCAGTCCATCCCTGACCCTCCCCCTCACTCTCAGTGAGGTGGGGTGTGTGCGTGGGCGTATCCCTGCGTGTGTGTGTGTGTGTGTGTATGTGAGAGCGTGTGCGTGGGTGCCTGTGGTGGGGAGGTGTGGGGGAGCCAGGGAGACTCCAGAGTACCACACACCTGCTCTAGAGAAGCAGCTGTCCCAGTCCCTGCTGTGGAAGTGGGGCGATAGGGCCCTCTCCTGGGGGCCATTGGTGCTAATGAGGGGGATGTGGCCTTGACCTGGGTGCTTAGCAAGCCTCCCCCAGTATTGGCCCGGGGCACTAGGGCAGGCAAGGTGGGCAGCAGGTGCAGTGTTGGTGGAATGAGGGGCTACTGGGAATAAGATGAGGGGGCCAGGCCAGGACGAGAGGGGTGGCAGAGCCATGACCACTACTCCGCACCATCCCCACCTCTCCATCTCAGTGTTCTCCCTCCCATCACTCATAACACACATACCTCATCCTGCCTCCCTGCTCAGACTCGGGGAGGGCGGGGGAGGAGCAGCCCCCTACCCCCTTCCCCTGGCGGCCGGTCTCCAGGGCTGGGGAGAGGGCTGGGCGTGAGACAGGCGCCATCCATTAGGGGGACAAGCCTTCCTGCCCTGGGAATTCCTGGGGGAGGAGGTGGGGGACTCTGCCCAGAGGCACTACTGAATGTATGAGAAGCTAGTGCTGGGGTTGGGGAGGATCTTTGTGGCCAGATGTAGGGAAGGAGGTAGGTCCCGTCCCCAGGGAGGGGTGGGAGCAGTAGGGGTGACTTGGGGGGGGCCCCTCCTACTCCTGCCCCATGTTGACAATCAAGTGTGTCTGTTATGTGCGATTTTTCACCCCCGTTGTGTTTTGGGTCAGGATTTTAAAGAAAGATATTTTTATGGTAATTGTTGCTCGTCTATTTTACTATATATTTATGTAATAAATATATGATGAAAATGACCCGTGAGCACCCCCCTTAGACTTGCGTGATGCTTCCCTGACCCTCCCATCTGCTGGCAGAGTACCCCCAACCCCCAAAAAAACTGACCAGATGGAGAGGACTCCCCGCAGCCTTGGCAGTAGTGCCCCTGCCCTCTGCCCCCCAAACAAGCACACACCACACAAGCCAGCTCAGCTGTGAACGATTGGATTTGAGACAGGAGAAGAACAAGTTAGGGGGCTGGGGCAGAAGGGTGTGGGGGGGAGAGAGAGAGAGAGGTTTAAATAGGGGAGGAGGGGGAGGTTGGCTGGGGGGTGGGGGCCGGGTGGGCAGGGAGGGTGGCAGGTGTTTTACAAGAAGGCTCAGGGGGCCAGAGGCTCATCTTGGAATATTTTATAACAATATAAATAAGATTCTGGTTTGCTTTTCCTTTTCGTCTCGTAAAGGAGAGAGAAGTGCAGAGTTCGATTCTGTACAAGGGGGCAGCGGCAGAAGGCCGGCCGGGCGGGTCACTGGGCGTCCACCCGGAAGGACAGCAGCTTCTCGGAATGCATGTTGTTCAGGGTCCGCAGGTCCGGCAGCTTGAGCAGCAGCTTGGTGAAGCGGGAAGTCTCCAAGGGCCGGTTCTTCAGCACCAGAGCCCGAAGAGCCCGCAGCAGCATCTCCTGGAGCTGCTCCACAGAAGCGGAATCCTCGGTGCCCGAGCGGTCTATGGGGAGGACGACAGCAGTGAGGCAGGCTCCTCCTCAAGCTCCTCCTCTGACGAGGACCCAGAGGCCAGCGAGGACCCAGCCAGCAAGGCGGCCTCCCTCCCTGAAGCCCCTCAGGGGGCCCCCTCCGGAGAAGGAGGAGAAGAAGGAGAAGGAAGGAGCGACTACCCCTCCTCCTCCCAGGCCTCTGCCCAGAAAGCAGGAGGTACCTGATGGCTCGACCTGGTCTCCTCCCACCCCTCCAGCCCACTCTCCTCCTTCCCAGAATAGGCCCCCCATGGCGCCAGGCTCCCTTGTTGTTGGCCCTGTAGTTCCCGCTGCCTGGGACGCCCTTCCTCTGCCTGGCAACATCATACTTGTCCTTTGAAGCCCCACTCAAGTGTCACCTCCTCTCCCAGCTCCCCCCAGGCAGAAATAGTTGTCTGCGCTCCTAAAGCCCTCCCTCGGTGCCTGCTTCTACTGTGACACTTCTCCCACTGTTTTATAATTAGTTGGGCATGAGTCTTGTCTCCCAAGCTAGACTGTGTCTTAATCGTGTCTGTATCTCCAGTGCCTGGTGCGGGGCCTGGCATAGCGTAGGTACTCCATAAAAGGTGTGTTGAATTGAACTGCGTCCGCCTCCTCCCCGCCCCCCTCCGCCCCCCCCCAGGGTGGGGGTGTCCGTGAGAGCTTGACCCACCTGCAGAGACAAGCACCACCGCGGTGAAGAGGCCCAGCTCCTCCTCCGTGAGCGCCAGGGAGTTGAGCTTCTCACTGAAGTCAAACATGGCGCTGAGCAGGTCTCCCATGCCCATGGCGCCGAGCTCCTGCAGGCTGTACGTGGTGCGGCTCAGAAACATCACCGTCTGGTCCTTCACGTTGAACAGCGACGCGAAGCGCACCATCAGTACCTGAGGGCAGGTGGGGAGGGGGCAGGTTTGACAGTCAGCCTGCAGCTGGGGGGTGGGGTGGGGTGGGGGGCAGGGGAGCACTGGCCACTCACCCCGACAGGGTTTCAAAGGGGCTCTGCTGTGCTGTGTGGGGTTTCTCACTGGAGTTGGGTGGTTTCTGCCTGGGCACTAGGAGGTCACGTGAAAGGCTGGAGGATACTCCTCTGGTCTTGGAGACTGCTAAGCCTGGGCCTGAGTCTCACCTGAGACCGGACCGGGGACTGTGGCCACACGGGAGATTGCGCTTGTCTAGAAGCGGGGTTCCCGTGCACCCTCAGGTAACGGGGTTGTGAGTTAACACTCCAGTGGAGGTGACAAAAGCCCCAGCCGGCCAGAGTAGGGGTGGAAGGGAGGCTGCCCCTCGTCACTAGTCAGAGGGTCTGAGGTTCCAAGACCTGCCAGAACCCCACCCCCCCCCCGCCCAGAGACATCTAGCTTTTCTGCTGGACCCGCCACAAGCTCAGGAGGCGGCACACAAAGGGTTACCCACCTCGAAAGTGCCAGCCTTAAGCAGGGTGACCTGGTCGTGCTGAGAAAGGTCACAGAAGCCAGGGATGTGCTTGGCAAATTCTACCACCTCCCGCACGGCAGGCGTGAAGCTCATGGAGAAGTCCTCCCAGATCTCCTGCACGGTTCGCCCACTGCGGCCGTGGGGGTACATGTTCATGGGGCACGCCTGCGGGGAGGAGCATGTGTCGGCCTGGTTGGCTCAGAGGGGCTCACCCTGGAGGGTTGGACCCCAGCTTCTGACTAAGGACTGGGGCCCGGCAGGATGGGCTTTTCAGGTAAAGTAGCAGGCTGGTGCCAGACAGAAGTCGGGACTCCCAGGTAGGGCCCTGAGCGCAGGACAAGATGTCCTCCCAAGGGAAGAGGCTATCACAACCCACTGCCCTATGCCATGTCCATTCCCCCTGGCCCCCAGCCGCCACCACCACCACCCCACCCCCGTGTCCTTACCAGCAGAACGTTCTTGCAGGGTCCCCGCCGAGGACAGTTGGCAGGGACCTCTCCCTCCGGGGGTGGGTATACGTGTGTAGGACAGAGACGGTGCCCATTGTTGTTGGCCTGGTGGCAGCTGTGGTGGACAGGGCCCTGGGCCCAGGTGGGTGGGTAGGAAGAGGGGCCCTGGCGCTGACCATTCAGGGCTTCGTTATGACGCTGCGCAGCCAGGGCGTTGTCATTGGGGACAGGGGGGCAGCCCTGACTTTCCCAGCGATGTGGGGCTGTGGCTGGAGGGCTGCCCGTGGCATGGTTGGCATTGAAATTGCCAGGTGTGGTGCCCAGCTTGTCATGGGCATAGGTGAAGATTTCTCTGTGGGCCCGGGCCACCTGTGATATCACATCCTCCACGGTGGGCTCAGGGCTTGGTGACCGGGGAGGTGTCAGCTGTTGTGGGAACTGGGAGAAGCCCACCAAGGGTGAGGGGACCGGGGCTGGGGGTGGGATGGGGCCTGGGGCGGGGGGCTGGGTGGGCGGGCTTTCCAGTGGGCACTGGCTGCTCAGCTGGTTGTTGGCCAGATTCATGGCACTCTGCATCTCGGCCAGCATCCGCTGCTTCTCCCGTTTGGGGATGCGCCCAAAACGCACAGCTGTACCAGGATGAGAACAGCCTCAGGAAGTTCCCATGCACACCCACACACTCTCTTCCTTCCTCCCTTCCTTCCTTCCTCCTGGGAGGGCGAGCCCCTGGAGGCTGGGGGGTGCCTTGTAAGTGACAATCAAAGCCAGGGAGGCCACTCCCACCAAGGGGGTTTCCTGTAGGCCTTAGAGTGGGAGTGGCAAGAGGGGCCCAATGGGAAAGGAATGTGTTTACCAAGAAAAAAAGGAAATGTGTGTTTATCCAAGAAGATGAAATAGGGGCACCTCATGCAAATGAGACCCCGCGGGTTGTGGGTCTTGGTATGGGACTTCCCCCGCACCCCCCCTCTCAAGAGGAATACATTCAGAAGCTTGGGACAGGGTGGAGGGAAGTGGGTAAGTGTGGGCATGCCTGCTGCCTCACCATCTCGAGACATGCCCACGGAGAGACACTTCTTGAAGCGACACTGCTGGCAGCGGTTGCGATTGATGCGGACAATGGAGCAGTTCTCGTTTTTCAGGCACTTTTTGTACTGGATGTTCTGCTGGATGCTGCGGCGGAAAAAGCCCTGGAAGGGGGGGGGGGGCGCCCGGGTGGTGAGCATCTCTGTGTGTCCCAGGGAGAGGGAGGGATCCCCGACCCTGCCCTGGACCTGCCTCACCTTGCAGCCCTCACAGGCGTGCACGCCGTAGTGGAAGCCTGAGGCTACGTCTCCACACACCTTGCACAGCAGCACCATGCCGTTCAGCTCTGCAAAGACGGGGGCGGGGCTGAGTGGCCACGATCCTCACGTGACCCGACTGGACTGGGCTGGAGCTGCTGCAGCTCCGGGAGTCCCAGAGGCCAGGCGACTGACCATGCCATGAAAACCGACTCCCACCCGAGCCCTGGCTACTCACTGGTGATGTTGCTGGTGATGTTACCGGTGCTCTTGGTGGGGGACACACGGCTGATGTCCTCCATGGCCACTTGCAGGCCCCCTGGGGGGCTCCCATTATAGAAGGAGGACGATGAGGACGAAGACGGGGAGTCCTCACTCAGGCTAGGTGGCACGGTCCCAAAGGATCGGGCTGGGTCCTGAGTGAGGGAGCCCGTAGGTGAGGGCGGGAAGTAGGTGGGGCACCCCTGGGTCAGGGACTGGAAACTGCCATTGGAGTTGTCACTGTAGAGAGACTCCGGGCTGGTGCGGCTTGGGGAGGAGCCACTGGAGCCAATATAGGTGATGACGCCACCTGACGGGAGAGCACAGGAGAAAGGGTGTCAGCCGTGACGTCTTTGGTTCTGGGCTTCCTCCCTGCTCCTCCCCACCTGTCCTCAAACACTGCTGGGCATCCCGGTTAGCCTGTGTCCCCAGAGGGATCCTAATAAAGAGTTCCCCAACTTGTACTAGACGTGACACAGCCAATCAGCACCCATGAGCCTCTAGTGCACACTGCTGCTCTGCCTTGGGGGTGAGGCACCCCTCTGGGGCACAGCCCCTCCCTGTGGGCATTTCACACATGTTCCTCTGCCCTGGAGAAAGCACAGCAGCTCATGATTTCTTCGTCGATGGCAGAACAGGGCGGGATGAGCAGCTGGGCGCCCTGCACAGTGCCCAGTCCTCTGATAAACAAACACCTGCCACTTTTTAACACCAAGACCATTCCGGGGCTCCTAAGGCCATGATGGGAGGGGTTGGGTGACCGGTGGGTGACCGATCAGCAAAGGTACTATAGGCAACGAACCAGCACCCCCCTGCTGCCACTGGGCATGAGTAGAATAGGTTGAGTGGCCTGTACTTCTGAACGAAGCAAGTGGCAGAAGTGGAAGTGAAGTAGTGATTATCCAGCCTGGGCACAATGACCTTGGCTCTCGGGCCACTCAGGGACTTTGGCCTTCTCTTATATGGCTAAGCCGCTGTGGTGAAATCCCTCCCCACCCCCCACCTCTGCCAAAGCACCTAGTTGGCCTGCAGTGGGAGGGGTGGGAGGAGGAGGATCCGGGGCACGTGTAAACTAACACACACTCTCGCACAGTGTCTGCAGAGGCACATGGCTTGCTCACCCACTGACATACACTAAGCAGGGCAGGGACGGTCCTAAAATAGCCCAAGGTTGGTCAGGGTGAACCAGGCTCCCTGTAAACAAATAGGCTCCTACAGTTTCAGGGCTGGGGTGAGGAGATGGGGCTATTTATTTGTTGGCAAGTGAACTTGACCCAGTTTGCTCACACACACACACACACACACACACACACACACACACCAAAAGGGAAGTGAAACGCTGCATCCAAGAGATCTAGATGCTGGAAGTAGAGGGCATGCAAGAGAGTCCACTTCTACATCGAGATCTACCACCACCAATTTGCTGGGTGACCTAAGGGAAGTCAAGTCTCCCCTGTGGCCTCGGAGGGGGAGATGAAAGAGACCTAAAAACCCTTTTGGCTATGATTCTGGGCTACAGTTGCTTCGAGAAGGTTCTTAGAAGGCAAACTGCTGCTTGCTCGGTGGGGGTGGGGGAAACTGCAGGACTAAGTAAAGATCTGCTAAAACAGGAAGAATCTGGAATGTGGAGACATGGAGTCTAAACGCAGTACAGCGAAACAGGTGCAAACCCCAAACAGGGGAAAGCAGTTGGGGGGCTGGGTGGTTAGCCCGCGAGGCTCCAACAGGGCGCGTAAACAAGGGGCCAGGAGAGGTCAGGGATGGCCCCATCTTCCTGGCCTTCGGTGCTGGGCGGTGGGGGCGGGCAGGCGGCGGGGACGGCGGG